GTGCGCCCCGGTGTCGGCCCCGGGCACGCGAGGGCTGGGCTGGCGCAGAGCCTTCCTTTCTTCAGCTCGGGCCGCCCCTCCCCGCCCTGTCGGCTCAGCTTCTGGTCGGCTTCCTTTAACCTAGGCAAGTTCGTACCTATGGGGTGCGGTGTCACACAGAGGGAAAGGAATCCTTTATCTTGATTCTCAGGTCTTTTGGGGTTTTAAGAAAAAGTTAGAATTCACAGAAGCTTGTGGCTCCTTAAAAAACAGCGTGCTCCTGTGACCTGCAGAGCGGGATGGCCAGGGTCTGCACACTCCACACCCACTTGGATGCACCTTAGGTGAAAGCCAGAGCCATATTGCTGGCTGCATTCCTAGCTGCCTATCCTAAGCGTTTAAAAACAATTAGAAGATCATGGGCAAAAGACAGCTTAATTCCAGTAGAAACCTTTGTAGTCTGTCTGGAGTGGACCTCTCCCACCCACGTAATCACTGTGGTGGAAAGGTGGAAGGCTCTCACCTCTTCCTGTTTTTAATCCTGTTTTTAAACTCACGGGGATGGGGGTTACCCTCTTCTAAACACAGGGATTTGTAGCTTGTGTTTGTACAAGTTCCCGAAATGGCTAATTTTACGATAAACCCTGAAGTCAGGACCTTTTCCCAAGGGAAACTATTCCTTGTGAGGTTTCCGTGTTTTAAATCTGCCAGGTTGGCTCCTTCTAACCCCCTGTGTTGCTTTTAGGTCCTTTGAAACAAGTGTGACAGGAAAATAAATCTTCCAAGGCTGGGAGGAAAGCTCAGGCCCTTCCAGGGGCACCATCCAGGGCTCAGAGACTCGCTGCCCCCTTGTTCCTGTTGGGGAGGGACCTGCCAGACCTGGTGGTCTGTGTATAGAGACACCCCCGTGGCCTTCCTTGTTCCCGGAAGACCCAGAGTAGGAGCTCAGGGGTTTGCATCAAGAACAGTAGAGCAAGCTGAGACTGTCAGCCCTCTGGAAAGGTAAAAAACTCCTTCTGATAATGATTTGTCTTGTTTTCAAGCTGTTGTGTCAGTGGATGGGCGGCCTGTGAGACTCCAGCTCTGTGACACTGCAGGACAGGTCAGTATCATGTTACACTCAACACTGGGAAAGGAAACAGTCTTTTGAAGGTTTCCAAATGACCTTTGCTGTGTTTCCACTGGTCCCCTCAGTAACTGGGTCTTTCTGAAGCCTCCTGGGTGGGCCCATCCCTGCACTGGCCCCTTGTGGAGTAGGAGGGAGGGTGGGAGGGAGCGTTAGGGACACCTCTGAACCAGCAGAATCAGGCTGGCCCTGCCATTCTGGCCAGAAGAGGAGAGTGGAGAAAGCTGCAGAAACAGCCCTTATCTTATGGAGCTCCTGATGTCCCTCACACTCTGGTTTTTATCAAAAAACTGATGCTTTGTAATAATTTCTCACAGTAGGCTGGTAATGCCTTATAATCATTTTATTAAAGACCAGAGATAATCAAGAATTTGCTCAAGGAAATGCTGGAGCTTTTGTCGCTAAGCCTCAGTGCTTCCCTTCCCTCACTGTGACTTGACCTCGGACCAGCCCCAGGCCTGAGCAGAGATGTGCTTACAGGGCTGCTCCAAGCTAGAGGGTGAATGAGTGGGCCACAGTCTTGCCAGTCAAGGGTATTTATTCTTATCTCAAGGACTGGTCACTTGGAGAGAACACGTAGGGAAGGGTGAAGGGGCTGTGGGTGTGAAACCCCCTTGGTGCTCCCAGGAGTTGAGGGGCTTACATCATCCCCGATGTGCTCTAGCCACCAAGAATGTATGATGCTCTCGGAGCCTTGGGTCCTGCTTGTTGCCCAAGTGGTAGTTGATGTACTCGTCTCCTGTGTCCGCAGATTGGGGAAGTGCCCAGTTGGGGTACCTTATGGGCAGGTACCTCATTCTGTCAGGTTCCAGGAGATGTCAGTTGCATTTATGAGGTTGACTTTCCAGGGACTCTCAGTACTTCATCCAAGCCAGGACTTCCAAGCTGCTCACCTACCCCAGGACAGCATACTCAGAGCTGAGACAGATTTTATTTTCTAGACCCAAGGTGGCATAGGCTGAGTGGTCTTAATCCTCATGGATTGTCTGGTGATGCTTATAACAGTGTCAGTTAACATCCAACTCAGAGCACCTCAGCTCTCTTCACCATGAGTAGGAGAAACCAAACATGATCTGGACAGAAAGATCAAAGAACACAGTCTTTTCTGATATTTGCTTGTTCTAAATGCTACACAGGGATCAATAATTCAGCAATTCAAGTGGCATTGCTTTCTGTAAAGCAAGAGAGCCAAGTTTCCCATCTGTAGAAGGTGGGCAGAGAAGCATCCCAGAACTTGGAACCCCTTGGGTAATAGCCTCAGGACCAGAGAGAAGGCAGGCATATACAGGAGCCCCAGGCATAGATACCAGGGAAACCATCAGGTAGCTGCCTTTAGACAATGCTCAGATACCACTGGCTGCCATCATGTTCTGGGGCACACACATGAGTCACAGGTCTTCCCACCATAGAGCTGAAGGCTGAAGGGAGAAAGCTGATGTTAAGAATTGAGAAGGGAATAGTACAGTGCAAACAGAGGGCCTCAAGCCACCACTGGGGTCTTGGGTGGGCTTTAGAAGAAGGAATTGCTTATTACTAGGAAATTTTTGAAAAAAAGATGCAAATCATCAAAGAAGAATTAGATTTTCCCTTAGTATCATCTGTTTAAAAGTCAGGAAAGCATAAAATCATTTTGGAAATACTGCCTGAAGTTTATAATTAAGGAAAATTATCAGCTTTCAGCTGATAAGCTTTAGTGTGTTTGGAAATTATTTTTCCAGTTTTCCTGGTGCCCCTCAGGTGCACTAGACACCTCAGTTTTTGAGTTAGGACTCCCTAACTTTTGCATTGGCTGGTGGAGAATACCTGCTAATAGGAAATAGGGCACCATCTCAAGATTGGTATAGAGCCAACTTCAAAAACTAATTTTGAAAAGTACTTGCTGGTAAGAAGATGAGGTCAGGGGTTCACACTGCTCCTCAAGCACAGGTTTGCATTGGGTGAGAGTGCATCAAAGCTGGTCAGAGTGGTGCTCCTTTTCTAGACTCATTGGTCCTCATCAGATAAATTTCCTTTTGAGGTACTTGATGTGACATCTGCCACATGTCCTTGTGGCCCTACCAAGGAACATATTCTCCCTTGGGCAGAAGAAGGAATGTGAACATCAACCAACTGATTGTGGGCAGTGGTGATCGCCAGTGAGCTGGGAGCCCCGTAAGGCCTCGAGCTCATTCCTGGTGCCTCAGGGCTCCCAGAGGAGACTGGTGTGTCTGTGGATGTGAGATAGAGCTTTTAAGACTGTACTCATGGACTCTGGAGCAAATAATGCAGCGATGGATGGACAGCCACAAGAAACCTGCCACTGGCTGCAAGAAGGGAGTGCAGCCGCAGGTGTCCTCTGCAGAGATGCTCACAGAGGCTGACTGTTCTTCAGATTTTTTTTTTTTTTTTTTTTTTTTTTTTTTTTATTTTTTTTTTTTTTTGCCGGACTTGGTATCATACTCAGGATCTTGTGCTTGCCAGGCAGGTGTGGTGCTATTTAACTAAATCTCCGGCCTTTCTTCAGCTTTTTAATCCATGAGATACTTAGGGAAATAAAATCACAGAGTGCGGCCTGACCAGAGAACACTCCAATCCGGTCTCCTCTCTGCTGGTCCTGCCCCCAATACAGTTCTGTGCAGTGTTTACACTGCAGGCTTGGGAAACTGAGCCACAGTTGCCTGGTTGAGTTTCTGAGTTTATTTTTGTAGCACAAAGTTGGCACTAAGAAACAGAAGTTGTTGTCTTTCATCTTCTGTTTAGAGTGCCTCACAGGGCAGGGGCACCCTGGGATGTTGTACTCATGCCTGAGCGTGCAGTGCATCAACTGTGGCACTTAGTTGGTTCCCCCAGGAGAGATCCTGAGGTGAAGAAAGCACAGCAGTCAAGACTGCTAACCCCAAGAAAGAGGCTGTGGGTGGAGGAGAAAATACCTGTATGTTGGACTTGGCAGATAATCAGAGTAGTCCAGATGGGTGATGAAAAACGCATACAAAAATGTTTGGCCTTTTTTGTCATTGGGAAATCACCAGTGACATTATATTTGAAGTTGGCAGTGCCCCACAGATACTCATTTTATAAGAGAAAATATACACATTTTCCCAGGAAAGGTCTGAGTGGAAGTTTCTGGTTGGTTGGGTTTGGGGCTGCAGGCACTACAGGAGGTTTGATTGGAGGAGAGGCTGACGTGGAGACCAGTGTCCATCTGTTCATACCGAGACCCTTGTCTGATGTTGGGCCTGGTTGAGGATGGCATCTGTGTGTATGGAAGTGGATTGTTTTTAATCGATTCTCCCCTCTCTCCTCTCCAGGCCTCTACAGTATAGGCCAAGTGTACCTGTCTCTGCTTCCTTGTCTGTCCAAAGCACTGTGCATGGAACACTTGGGGGAAAAGATCAAGGCCAGAGCTAGGAAGTAAGAGAAAACAAAGGCAGGAGGGGGAGAGAGGATGCAGTCAGAGTGAGATTGTGTTAACCAGTGTCTGTGACACTGGGGCACATGTTCTCTGAGCTTTCAGTGACTGTGGCCTCACACAGGTCTCAGCTCCTTCCTGGGTGTGCCCTTGTGTCTCATTCACATTGTTTTGCACTTTGTGTGCATCAGGCAGGTGAGATGGAATCAGCATCAATTACAGCTGTTGCAGGGAAGGGCGGGGCTGGGATCAGGAAGAGACGCGCTGTATTTGTAGGTGGGGCTTGCCAGGGTCAGTTTGGAGTTTGGGGGCCGATAGGGTGTGCTCTGAACTTCAGAAGAGTAACTGAGTTCCAAGGGTTGAGAGAATCAGTTAGGGTCGCTCTGAGCTAAAGGCAGATTGAAGCAAACTGGCCCTAGAACCCTGCTTTAAGTGACTTTTCTATGGTACATGGCCAGGTGACCAGGAATTCCAAGGACACAGGGCGATTTGCATTGTTAGGGCTATACTAGCCTTGGAGCTAGTCCTGTGCCCCTGGGCAAGCAGCAGGTTGGTTCTGAAACACCACCTCTTCCTTGTAGCCCAGTAGGTTTCCCGTTACTGGCCAGGCCTATCTAAAGTGTGTTAAGGTATCTTTTGCTGGTTAGCCAGTTACCTCTGGGTAACTCTGGGTGTGTGCTTGGTTGCAGGACGAGTTTGACAAGCTGAGGCCCCTCTGCTACACCAACACAGATGTCTTCCTACTCTGCTTCAGTGTGGTGTGTCCTGCATCGTTCCAGAATGTCTGCGAAAAGTGGGTACCTGAGATCCGGTGCCACTGCCCCAAAGCCCCCATTATCCTGGTGGGGACACAGTCAGACCTCAGAGAGGATGTCAAAGTACTCATCGAGCTGGACAAATGCAGAGAAAAGCCAGTGCCTGAAGAGGCAGCGAGGCTGTGTGCTGAGGAAATCAAAGCTGTCTCGTACATTGAATGCTCAGCCTTGACTCAGAAGAACCTCAAGGAAGTATTTGATGCCGCCATTGTGGCTGGCATCCAGCACACAGACTTCCAGCAGCAGCCCAGGAAGTGCAAGAGCAGAGCCCCGGACAAAGTGAGGACCCTCTCCAAGTCCTGGTGGGGGAAGTACTGCTGCCTCACATGACACTGTGGGGCTGTAACGACAGCCACCTCTGAGGTGGTGCCAAGAGGAATGACTGTGCGTGTGGGTATGTGTGTGTTGGGTGTGTGTGTGTGTGTGTGTGTGGGAGAGAGAGAGAGAGAGAGAGAGCACACACGCACAGAAGAGCCCTCAGCTTCTGCATTCCTCCATCCCTTAAATTTTCTTGTTTGTTGGAGCTTAGGGATGAGATTCTGATGCAAGATGAGAAACTCAAAGGAATTTTGAAGTAAGTTAAGAATTTTTCACAACCCTGGAAATTTAGAGCTCTAGACCTCTGGATTAATTTATATCTAATATGGAAAGAACACCTCAAAGCTGGATGTCAAGAATGAAATTTTGCTGCATTACTGTGTACAGAAGGATGAAGGGGGGAGTTGTGGTTTTGACCCTCTGGACTGAGGGCTGCTTGGTGCTAGGTGCATTGTGTGCACATGGCAGCCTCTGTGGAAACAGCTCAGCTTTGAAACTCCATGCAAACGAAACCTTTTGCTTTTTAAGAGCAAAGTCTGAGAAAACAGAGACCTCTGCCTACAGAACCTCAAACCCATCCTTTTGCCACCGAATAATACTCAATTGCATAAATTTTAAAACAACCAAAATAAACCATCTCACTGACTCCTGGTAGACCAAAAAGGAAGTTTGTTTGAAATTGGTATTTTTTTTCATCCTAAAACCAATTGTGCCCACACCATATGAAAAGAACCAAAATGCCTGCTGAAGGCCCTGATGCCACAGCTCTATTACTATCTGGGGATGACTCACATTGAGATCAGAGCATGGTGTTTGTTCTTGGGACTAACTTGTCCCTAGGCAGCCTGGTCCTGGTGATAAGGCAAAGGGAGCTCCTGTCTGGTGTCGTAATCTATATCTTGCTCTCCATTTACAGGATGGTGGTTGCAGTGAGAGGTACAGAGATGCTATGTGCTTTTCCTTTGAATCAGGCAAAATGTTCTCCTCTGTGTGCGTGTGTATGAACACACACGTAGGCACGTGGTATCTCTGCTGCTGCTTCAGACTTAAGCTGGCCACAAAGCCTGTCAGAACGGTTTAGCTTCCTCTTCTTGTCACCACTTATTTGAACAGACATTTTTTTTTTTCTTTTTTTTTTTTGGTACCGGGGATTGAACTCAGGGCCTTGCTCTTTCAAGTCAGGCTTGGTGCCACTGAGTTAAATCCCAACCCTGAACATACATCTTTTTGATTATACATTAGCTATGATTTTAAGCATATCTTAATTTGCACATTTTTGAGACCATTTTAAAACCAGAAAAATGAACACATGTAGAGACCAGTTAAGACAGTTCACTCCCCAGTGGCTCCCAGAGGCCTGCAGCAGACAGCACTGTGTCAGGGACAGGTGTGGTCACCAGGAGTACATTCGGCCAGGGCTCTAACCACGTGCTTCAATTCTGCAAGACAGTCACACAGCCGTACTCATGGCACCCTTAGGGTGGTGGTCTGAAGACAGTCCTGAGGAGGGTCCTCTCAGATGGGATGGGTCTGCTTCCGAGATGCCACAGTGGCTGGACACTGAATCAGCATCAGGCTTGCCCTGGATGAAGCAGTCACCAAAGTCACTTCAGTAACTAGCTGGGAACATCTCTATGAAGCCAGTGGCTAACAGAGTTTTCATCTCTGGGTTTTGTGTTATCATTTTTATATTTTAAAAAAATCTAGTTTGTATTTTTCTATAGAAAAATAGTAAAAGATCGGGCTTCTTTTCCTGTTAGTAAATAAAATGAAACAATTTGTTTGACAAAAGTTAATCTTTAAACCACTAAAGTACATAGACTGTTTACTATTGATTTTTCTACACATTGAAATTGGTATCAGTCAGTTTCCTTAAGTGTTTAATTAAACCTGAGTGAAAAAATTGCTTCAGTTGTGGAAATGATTGTAACAGACCTACTTCCTGTAGCCATCTAGTTATGCCTGACTTTCCACTCAAGAGCAGGTGCCTATGTGAGCCCCTGTCAGCCCTGTGTGCAGAGAGGGGAGGGACTGGAAAGTCATTTCATGTGGTCCATTAAAATGTACAAAGGCGAATGAGTTTTTAACGTAAAACACAAACTTTAAAGAAGTCTGCACCATGACTGTCTGGGTGGTGTCCTCTGCCTCGGGCTGTAGTGGGAGGCTGTAAGTACGGAACACTGCCTGGCCCCATTCTGGAAGCTTCACTTGAAAATTTGCGTCTCACATCTAGTAGGGTGATGTTTAAATGCCACAGTTTTTAATTACTGTATGTTGCTACACTTATAGAATAATGAGGTACGATTGTATGAAGTTTTCCTCCATTTTTCTTCTTGAAAAATAAAAATATAGGCTGAGAAAATTTTAAAGGTATATGTTTGAATTAAATATGAAGGTGACTCACTTCAAAGTTGAAATGGTTAAATGTGTAGCTTGGTTTGCAGAGGGCTTTAGGCCTAAATGCTACAGTCTGGGCCAATACCATGATGTAGAAACTGAACTGGGCTGCAGACTGACCTCCTTCTACTACATGTGAACAAATGGATGTTTTGCAACCTCCATTCTGCTTGGCCGACTTAACAGCCCAGGACTCTGCCCAGGAATCTCACAAGCTGAAGTGGGAGCAGGGCTCCTCTCTAGCCTGCCACAACCTGGTGCCTTACAAAGTTGTGTCTTTTGTGTCTACGTGTGAATGACGCTGGGCAGAATCCTGTACTTGAAAATGCTGTAAATGGGGTGGTATGAAATAAATTCTGACCTGTGGATACTAGATTCTGGCTTTCTGTCTTGGCATGGCAGGGTCCAGAAGGGTTCTGGCTTTGAGGGAACATACCCTCCCCTAAATTCCATAGGAGGTTGTGGACACTGGGATCTTGGCCTGATGACAGGGTTCCTGTGACTATGCAATCCCGGTAGGTCCAGTGCCAGGAACCATGTGTCAGAAATCTGGCCTCCAGAGCCTTTGTGGGATAGACCCCTGGCCTGAGAGCTAAGCTGGTTCCTTGCCAGGATGAGTCCTGAAGAAGCACGGTTGATGTCAGAGATCTTAGGTCACAATGGAAGGGACCAGAAGCCAAAGGCCCATGAGACCCCAGCAGTGTGGCCAGGGCTCAGGGTGCTTGTGTCCTCAGAGTGTTCGGTGTAGCAGTGCACGCTAACCCTTGAAGTAAAACCCATCGTGTCTTGGGTACACAGTAGGGTACGGGCACATCTTGGAGCCAGGCTGACCAGGACAGCAGTGATTCTTTTGTGGGAGCAGGAAGAAGGGCTGAACTTATCCTGCGACCCATGTCTAAACACTCCAGCCTTGGTGCTAGACACACCCTTGCTCTGGACAGAACAGCTATAGGCAGGAGGTACAGAGCTTGCCAAGGTAAGGCCCCCAGTGCTGGGTGGTCCTGGCCATCTCAATAGCTCTCACAGTGGGTCCCCATCATCATCCACAAGCCATGACTGACCTCTGTTGGGCTCACACAGTTTACACATAATGACACATCACTTTTTCACTTCAAATTTTATAAAATCTGAGCAGTTCTTGGGTAGTTCCAGTATGACCCAGGCTTTCTCTGGAATATCTGTCACTCCTGCTTACCTCTGGGACCTAGTGGGATGGGCTGCCCCTCTGCATAGTGATCTTGATCTTGCAGATAGTGAAGTAGCTACGTGTGAATTCAGTTCACAAGATGGTTTTGGGAGACAGCGGGCAAGGAAGCCATGGGGGCACCATGTAAAACTGTGATCTCCTGGGTCCCAGTCTCCTGCTGCACTGTCCCCTCACACCCATGTACAAGCAGCTCTCTCTAAACCAGCACATTTACACATTTGCACATTTGCATATTTGCACAGTTACCTGATTTGCTTTGAACGTGCCTCAGGGATGTCCCATAGCATTTCAAACATAACTCACTATATGAGGTTCCTGTCTGCTGTAACAAATCAGTGATTAAAACAACATATCCCTTTCCCTTCAGCCCTGGAGTGTCAGCCTGACTGGGCCAAAACCAGGGGTCAGCAGGATGGCATTGCCCCTGGGATGCTCTGGGCATCTGTTACCTGGTTCAGTATTGGGAGCCACCCTATGGCTTGTGGTCCTCCTGCACCTTTGCACCCTTGACAGTGGCCATGCCCGCACGTGGATTATGCTGGCACTGGAGTTCACACCTCTGCCTTCCCCATGAAGGACCCTCAGGGTCTCCCCATCGCAGGGTCAGCTGGTCACAGCCTCCATCCACCTGCTTCCCTGGCCCTTTTGCCGTGTGACACATGTAGTCCAGGCTTGGGAGCTGGGCATTATAGGGGCCACTCTTTGGTTGACCACCCTCAGACTTTGCCCACCTCATTCCAGAGAGGGTCCACCCACTGCTCTGTACTCAGAAGGAAGCAGAAAGCCCTTTGGCTCTACCTCCTCTCTTTCCTGTGGCCTCCGTCAGTTAACCTTTCTTTTTTTTTTTGAAGCAAAACATTTACTGGTACATTTTAGTTATACACAACAATACCATTCATCATAGCGAATTTGTACCTATACATGACGTATCTTCCTTCTTTTTTCTCCATCCTCCCTTCCTTCAATCCCTCTTCCCCTCCTTATTTACAAAAGCTTTGTTTCCATTTTCTCCTTCCCTTCTATTTTCCTCAAGTAACCTTCTATAGAGAAAGAACTTTCCATCCTGCCACAAGGAGTTGTCAAGACCAAAACAAAACTGAAAACCAAAAAAAGGGTAACACTAAATGTTTGTGTCTGTGTGTATGTACTTAAATATGTTTGTGTTACATGTGTATTTATTTGTATGAATATGTGTTTATGTGTCTTTTTGTATGTATATATGTGTTTATTGTGTATGCGTATCTGTGGCTTTGTGTTTTTGTGTTTATGTGGTGTGTGAGTATTACTTTGTGTATGCAATTGTGTATGTGTTTGTGTAGGGTGTGTGTGTGAGGGATGCTGTGAGGACCTAGATGTTCTAAGGCTAAGGTGAGGTGAAGATGGTCTCCAAGAACAAGGGATCAGGAAGTTCAGGAGAGTAATCAGGTGTGCAGTGGGGCCAGGCCAAGCTGACCTTAAGGGAGATGGCTCCAAGGTCAGGAGGACTAGATGATGGTTCACCTGAGTACATGAGGGGGGCACAACACCATTTCAGTCAGGCCTGAGAGGAGGGAAAAGGAAGTCCCTAGACAAAGGTTAGTTTTGCTGTGTGACGAAGGACAGCCATGCTAGGTCATCCCTCATGTGGTGAGGCCACTAGGGAGGCCGCCACAGATTGAATATTTCTGGCCCATTGCAGAAACACCTCTATTGTGAGATGTAATCTTGTCTGAATATCATTGAACATACAAAGACTCCTATCTGTCCTTATTCTTTGAGACATTACATCTTTTTTTATTTTTTTTTTTTGAGACAGGGTCTCACTATGTAGTTGAGACTGACCTGGAACTCACTATGTAGCCCAGGCTGGTCTCGAACTCACAGCGACCCTCCTGCCTCAGCCTCCCGAGTGCTGGGATTATAAACGTGCACCACCACACCTGACTGAGACATTACATCTTTATTAAACATCTCTAGGGGTCCCCAAGAGAAGACAAGGTACTGATAACACCCTGTCCCTGTACATCTCTTACTGATAATAGCAACTTCTGATTATAATTTGGCTTAAATTTGGATACTAAAATGCCAATGTAAATGTCTTGCACCTTTGGCTGGTCTGCACAAGATCAAGAAACATTCTCCACACAGGACATTTCTGCATTTCTTCCTGATCAGATAGCTGGAGTTGTAAATTCAGCTTAGCATATGTTGTTTGTCTCTATGGGAAGCGATTTCACAAGGATGTGTACTCTTGTGTTCTAGGTATGCTACTCTGAGGGTCTGAACTTAAAGAACAAATAGAGCTTAAACAATCCAGTATTCCTTGGTACAAGTACTTTCAGAAATAACACATCAACCACTCTTTGACACATGCTGGATAGTAGTTGTTTTGAGGTTCAGCTTTAGGACAAGAACAATATTGTATGGGGTGGTGGGCAAGGGAACCATGTGTGTCAGGAGCTAATATACAAACTGCTGTTTTGCCCCAAGAATGACCACTGTTTGCATATACTCTGTGAACTTAGACTGCAACAGACCCAGTTGGCAGGACTAGAATTACCTTTTGAATCTTCCAAAGGGCCTCAGAGATCTAAGACAGGAGCTGTGATACCCAAAATGCCATTGACCTTCTATCAACTGAAGTGGTTGCTCTGGCTTGACACACTTGCAAATCAAAGGTCTGATTTTTGGAAATACAGAAATGTCACACACATTAATCATCCAGAACCCCAACACCTGCCTCCATCTGGTTCCCTTTTTCCCACATCCCTTCTTCCTCCAGACACTCTTCGGTTCTTTACATTCATTCTAAATGAAATCTTAGGCCAGCCCACTGAGCTAGGAGAACTGCACACAGCTCACAAGCTCATGATGATCTAAAACCAGACACAGCCTCTGAGAAATGGATTTTCAGTCTGTGTAGTTCGCCTACACCATCTGCCTCCGTCACTTCAGAGTCTAAGCAATGAGGATAAGGGCAAGATCACTAGGAGTAGTATTGCCTTTGGGAACAATCTCAAATAGTCTCCAAGGTTGGCCTTATATGGCTGAGAGCCACCTGAGTCAGGCTGTTCCTGTTATGGGGTACAGCGAATGGTCCAAGTTCCCTCAGTCCCCTTTCCTTCCCTGGCCCCTGAGCAAACTCGCCTCATCTTTACCCCAAACTAACTGACCAGGGGATGGGGAAAGCCAGGAGTTTCTATTTTAAAATGCAATGAGTAGACTGGTGTGACAAACTAATAAAAGTGTAAATAAGATCCAAATTGTATAACTGATAATGTGAAATAGGAAGAAAAGGGCTAAAGGTGTAGGGGAAGTGGGAAGGGCAGGGGAAAGGAAATAAAGGTCAAGAAAAAATATGAGAAAAGAAAAAAAAATGGAAACAAAGTCTTTGTAAATAGGGGAGGGTGGAGGGGGTAAAGGGAGGACAGGGGAATGGGGAAAAATGAGAACCAAGGTCTGTCATGTAAAGATACAAGATCCCAATGATGAATGTAACTGTACTGTATACCTAAAATGTACCAATAAACTCAATAAGATAAAAAAATGCAATGAGTAGAAAGGGATCAATGTTTAATTAAGAAACTAATTATTTAGGTAGAATAATGACTTTTTCTAATAAAAATATTGGTAAAGTAGAACAAGGATTAAAGTGAGTTTATAAGAGAATGTTCTGGTAAATAGCACAATACCTGAAATTTATGAGCTGCACTCATTGACAGGATGAAAACATTTCACCTATTATTGTGACCTGTTTAATTGTCCTTTGACCAAGTTGTGAAGCAAATGAATAAATAAACACATTATGCCTCTTGACCTCACACCAGCCTTGGTAGGCAGGTGCTGGGTGGGGCATCATTGTTCTTATTCATTAGAGAGAGACATAAAAAGGGGATTTGCTAGGGGCTTTTTCTAAGGTGTGTGTATGGGGAAACAATTACTCCTGGTGTCTTTAGCCCCAATGTCCTTTTTTTCCTCTGCTTTCTTGTAGAGGGTGCAGAAGGGCCTCAACCTCAGTAGGGATGCACTGGTCTGTTTACTCCTCTTTGTGTAACAAGGTAAAGCAGAAGTTATCAGTTCCTTCCCATGACTCTGTGGGTTGGCTGTTTAGCCGGGCAGTTCTACCCATGTGCATGTGAGAGGACCATGTATAGCCATGAGGTCATCTGGGGGACCTCTAAGGGCCC